GGGGGGGGGGGGGATCTATAACTTTCCTCAATGAGTGCCACCCTCGGCACCACCATCATCTTCCTTGTCCACCATCATCACTGGCATCAACAGCAGTCTTATAACCAACGGGCCTAGCTCAGTTGGTAGGCCGTCCTGCCGAGTAGTAGTCGAAAGCCACTTGGACTTTCAGACCAAATACGAATATGTATTGCCAAAGGAACAGGGGTAGAGTACTACACCCTCCCCGCAGCAAAAAAAAAGACACTCGACGCTTTTTTTTTTTTTTTTTCCTCCAAAAAAAGAACCGCTTTATTATATACTCGACGCTTTTCATAGGAGACTAAACGATTATACCTGTTCCTGAAATCCATCGCACTTACCAACACACACACACACACACACAGATGCAGAGTATATATTATAGAGTCAATGTTTTTTATACGGGTACTAAACGCAAGTATTGAAGCTGGCCGTCGTAACGGTCACAGTCAATTAAATAAAAAACGACCAGCCATTATTAGTTAGAGAGCAGCACTCTTCTCCTGGTAGTCGAACACTTGTAGGAGAAAACCCTGCCTGCGCAATGACCCAAATGGTTGGAACTGCGAAGAATGCAGGGGGCTTCAAAAGAACTCCAAGGCTCCGGTGATGGATGCCGCGCAAACGTACACTTCAAGCGCGCAGCAGCCGTTGTGCGGGTTCAGTCCAAACGAGTGCACATAATGACACTGGGAACAGTGGGAAGTCGAAGAGCGTCAACAGGAGAGAGAGGATTCAGAGGACAAAGTGGTAAATCGGAGAAAATAGTAGAATTTCCAATCTTTCCAATAATGTCCCCGACCTTTTTTTTTTTTTTTTTTTTTTTGTCCCCAACCTCTTTGAGCCGCGGCCGCTCAACATTGGAGACTCTTTTATGGTGTTCGGCACTGTTAGCTACCATCTTCACCGGAGCAAAATGCACCCTCATCATTACCGTATGCAACCTATCTTTGAGCCCAATAAAGTCACGATAAGGGTATTTTCTCTTCAGGGGAGGACAGTAGCAGGTCCGCAGATCCGTCCAAATAAGAACAAAGGTTGCATTCCATACCTTCTTTTTGAAAGAGCAGTTGCCAATCATGGGGCACCTATAGGTGCTGGTTCACGAATTGTGTGGGCCAGAACACCATCCGAGACTCCATGTTTGAGGAGAGAAATGTTATGTCTGCTGGAGCCCAAGTGTTGGGAGAGCTTGGTGCATCCCCTAACCTCTTCCTCCGAATAGAACACATGGTGATTATAGCTGTATTTGAAGCAACTTTGAGTCTAGATGCAGCAATAATGACCATGCATTCTATTCAGGGGAAGATGGTGGGATTCACCCCTCCCTACCACGTAAATAAGGCTCAACCACCATCATCTCTCCAGCTTCCCCTTGAATTGGCTAAAAACGTGCACCATGGAACAGGTGCCAATGCGAGCAAGACCCATTACTGGGCCAGCTGGCAATCTGTACCAGGTTCGCTGCTGTAACAACTAGCGATTTGCACCACATCCATTGTTGGAACAGGCATGTTTCTCCGTCCAAATCCATTACCGGAACAGGTGTGTTTCTCCGTCCTGATGAGTGCTGCTGGATCAATTGACTGTAATTTTAGCAACCCCGGGACATGTGGAGCACGTCAGTTGCACAGTTCACCCACGAGCCCTTTCTTGTCATTGGGGGAAAGAGGGGAGGGGGACAGGGGGGGGGGGGGGGGGGGGTCTTAAATAATCAAAAGTGCAACCCCCCCACTGTTTGCCCCCCAAAGTTGCCAAAACAGAATGACAGAGAGGAACACGTGGGCATAATCACAACAGGATTTTCCAGGATGTAACTGCAACCACATTCGACTCCAAAAGTTCCCCTTCTCAATCCACTCACTTGGACCCTTTGGGGGACAAACAGCGGGGGCCTTGCTCTTTCAGGATGTATCTGACCAAAACCGCAACCAGATTCAAGTCCAGAAAATCCACACAGGGGTACTTTCCAGTACGTATCTGACCAAAATTGCAACCAGATCCCAGTCCCAAAAGTCCTACCACGAGAATGATCTTACTCTGCCTCTCTCAGACTTGCAGCCCCCTTGTCAATCCTTAGAATCAATTACCATAACCATGAGACCCAATCCAAAATTTCCAAATCTGAAACCCCTGGCAAGTGCTAGGCAAATTGCAGGCTGTGACAGTTCCGATTACTTCCGGCCGCAAGAACACCCGCATTGGGGCAATGAGGCTGAGAACAACTGATGGGTCTGATTTGATTGCTTGAACACCGTGTCCTGGCTGTAGTGGTTAAGATACCTGGCTCTTAAGGCCGAGGTCGCCGGTCCGAATCTGTGCTTGCACGGTGGAGGACTCGGGCTCATGCCGGGATGGGTAGCGCCATCCTGTGACCTCAGATGTGGGGGAGCTAGATGTGCAGATTCACTTAGCTGCTGTAGAAGCACCCGTTAACCACCGGGTGAGCCCGTGTTGGTGGACGGGAGGGAGTACCATTGGTAAGGATTTGTGCTAATTGGCAAGAGCGAGGTGTGCGAGAATCGCCATGTCCATGTATGTGTTGTGTGTGGTGTGTGTTGAGTTGGACACTACAGCCTTGCAGGGGTGGGGTGGATATCACGACCGGTATGGTTCCACTTCTGCACACCATGTCCTGGCTGTAGTGGTTAAGATACCTGGTTCTTGAGGCCGAGGTCGCCGGTTCGAATCTGTGTTTGCACAGTGGAGGACGTCGGGCTAATGCTGGGATGGGTAACGCCATCCTGTAACCTCAGCTGTGGGGCAGCCAGATGTGCAGATTCACTTAGCTGCTGTTGACCAAGAAAGGGGAAAAGAAAAAGACAGTCGCCGCGTACTTACCAGATGATCCGTCACCGCTCTGGAATGTGTACGTGTGCTGCTGCTGACTTCCTCCATTCCATCCTGTATTCCCTCCGCTGCCCCAACTGAAACCAGACTGTCCACCGGGAAACCCGCCAAAGCCTCCTCCACCCGGGTGTGCACCATTCCCACCTGCTTCCTGATTTCTCACTCCCTCCTCACCATAAGAGTCATAAACCTGTTTCTTCCTCTCGTCTGACAGAACATCATATGCTGCAGAGAAGAGATAACAAACAAGATCAAATCAACCACAGCACAGCAATCGGCAAGGGCATTACCAATCACCATTTCTATCCTTTGTGCAGACCAGTCCATTCTCATCTTCGCCTATGGCATTAACACCTCCCCCCCCCCCCCCCTTGTTTTTCTTAATTAAGAATTCGATTTTCATTCATCTAGTTCTTGGATCCGTATTTTGCAAGGAATATGAGCGAGAGCGATAGACAGAAATCAAGGTTGCAAAATCACGAAGTAGCTCAGATAGTCATGAACCAAGCAGAGAGTGCAATGCACCAAGATACCATCCAAATAACAGCAATACAATGAACTCAGTTGTCAATGTCGCCACTCTCTGGTCAGACCAACACTGTATCCAATGTCGCACTTACTGCCTGGCGCCCCGCGCCCGGCCTATCCTACTCAGCCTATCTAGCCTGTCTACGTTCATGCAACTGGATCACTTTGAAGTCGAAGACCAATGTACGTGACGTCAACAGAAATGCCAACCACCAGCATACACCAGGTACGATCTCTCTCCTCGCCTCATCACCCCTTGGATCCCCTCTTCATGCCCCTCCTACCCGAAGACCATCATCGCCATCACCTGCCATGCGCCCCAGCTGCCCGGCTATGGCTGTGCGCCCGCTGCCTCAGCAGCGCCCCTCCCACCACTATGCCCGTGTGCGCGTCCGACCAGCAGCACCCATACAGACACTTGCGCAGCAACGCAGCAGCGTGTCCACATTGCCTGCCTAGGCCAGAATGCCCCTGCCTGGGATGGCCTCTTTCCTTTATGGAAAGTGCAGCCCCGTGTGTGTCCGTGTGGGCCTGGCTAGGGAAGTTTCAAGTAGCTTGAGTTGGGCCCCAGTGTCTGCGCCCAGGCCCACCTCTACAGTTAAAGGCCTGTGCCCTTTTTGGTTGGGCACATACAGGTAGCCTTCCAGGCTCCAAGTGTTGGCCGCTTTCTCATTGGCTCGCAGAGAGGTTGTATGACGACAATGCTGCTTTCTCATTCGTCCGCGGCCACTGCGTGATGTGTCAGCCTCCCGCTGTGTGTGTGCCCAGGGCGCAACCGACCACACCCTGGGCTCAACTGTGCAGCGCAGCTGTTGCTTCGGAGTCGAGCCAGCAATGGCTCACGTTGCTTTGTAACCAACCGGCGTGCTGCAACTGTCTGTTACCCACATACGGAAAATTGTCGAAAATTGGCCTCTTGTGGATATTCAAGCCCGCCTTCACTTAGGGCGGGCACAATGCTTGGTGGGGGCACACATCCTAGAACACTTGCATGTCTGTTAGGGCCCCGTGAGGGCTCAGTCCTCGCAATGTTGACAGTTCATGGGTGTCCCAACTGAGCTAGGCCCATTCCTCCCTCGGAGTGCCTCCTCTCCCGACCCTTTTCACCACTCTTCCTACCCTCCTCATTCATTCTGGTTTCTTGGGAGAACTATCAACCATCCTCCAAGAGGTTCCCCTAATAGAAAAATGTGTTGGGATCGTAAACATTCTTGTAGACAACAGTTGCAAAAGATTCAGCAAGTCTTCCAAAACGTTCAATTCTGAGGATTCTGGAAGATCCCACGGAAGATGCAGGGTTGGGGGTAGGGGCAGGGAGGGACGAAGGTGCAAGGAATATGAGTGTGAACAATATACAGAAAACCAAGTTGCGAAATCACACAGATGTTCAAGTACTCGTGTCCAAGCAGAGAGTACAAATGCACCGAGAAACCATCCAAATAGAGCAATACAATGAAGTAATGAGCCAATGTTCAAGCCCGTAGGCCACACCAACACAGTATCCAAAGTCGCTACTCTCTGACTGGCACCCAGCGCCCCACCTACTCTACCCGACTATCCTACCTACAGCTGTGTTCACGCAACAGGCTCACTTCGACTCTCGAAGACCAATGTACGTAACTGTCAACACCATAGCCGACCTCTCTTCATGTACCAGGTATATATCTCGTCACCCTCAATCAGACCTTGATTACGCCACACTCGCCTCCTTCCTTGAAGACCACCAGATCGCCCTCTTACCCCCTGGCGCCCAGCAGCACGGCTATGGCTGCCTGCGCCCCGCTTCACCACTAAGTGCCCCGTCGGCGCCCTTGGCCGCAGCGCAGCATCAAGTGGTAGTGCAGCAGCACTTCCACATTGCCTACGCAGGCCAGAATGCCTGGCCTGGGCTGCCTCACTTCTTTTATGGAAGTGGCAGCCACTTGGGTGCTGCGTGTGGCCTGGCTGGAAGCTTCCAGTAGCTTCCGGTTGGTGGGCCTCAGTCCCTGTGCCCAGGCCCGAGACTACAGTTGAGGGCCTGGGCCCCATTTACAGTTGGGCACGGCCTGAGTCTCCGGACTTGGGCTGTTTGCTGCATCTGTGCAGAACTCCCAGGTAGGTGTATCGACAGTATTGCCTTTGCTTAGGCCAATGGCCTGCTTCTTGATGTATCGGCCCTGCTTTGTGTGTATGTGCCCAGGCGCAACTGTCAAAGCCTGGGCCAACTGTACGACGCAGCTTATTGAGGCTCACCCATCCATCCAACCAACTGGCGTGCTGCAAGAGCCTGAATACCCACATATGAAAATGTCGAATTTTGGGCTTTGTCGAATATTCAGGCCCGCCTTCACTTAGGGCGGGCACTCGGCTTGCTGGGGCCTTAGCCCAGAACATGTGATGTCTGATAGGGCCCCTTGAGGGCTCGTTCCTCACAAAGGCTTCACCATTTAAGATATTAGTTGCCCCTCAGGGCAAAGTCAGACTCAAATGAGCTTTTTTTCTTTTTCTTTTTTCTTTTTTTTTTCTTTTTTTTTTCGGGGTGGGGTCCAACACAGCTCTGATCTATTTGTGGGGAGCAGCACGTGCTGAGAACCAGACCCAGACTCAAATGAGCTGTAATTTAATTGCAGACAACTTTCCATGCAATTTTCTTTTTTTTGCGTCCTTTACACATCATTTGACTTCTTAGTAAAAGAAAGGGAAGTTGGCTTTCTTTCTGCAGCATACCTTGACTGATTTCCATAAACTTTGCCTTTGCTGACTTTGACTGGTTTTTGTCTGGATGATACTTCAAAGATAACCTGCACATGGGCACCATCACGAACCAAAAGAGCAGCACATGCGGATTTTAGGCACTGAGAGGACAAGACAAAAGCACGTGACTGGCCACAGGAAATTTTATTGTCCCTTTGGTGGGCTGCACAGTGACAAAAGCACAAACTTCCTTTCTCTTTTCCTGCTTCCTTTTCTTTTCAGTTCTGTCCTTTATTCTGTCTTCTTTTTCTCCTTCAGCATCCTCTTTTGCTTTCAGCCACAGATCTGAAACATTCGAGCCCTAGGACACCCTCAAATTGCAGGCTCCTACGGCTGTGAAGTTGACGGCAATACTTACACTATAATCCTTTCCCCTGCATGCGTCCATAGTTACCATGCTTGATCCAAAAAAATGGATGACCCCCCCCCCCCCCCCCCCCCCCCCCCCCCCCCCCCCCCCCCCCCCCCCCCCCCCCCCCCCCTCCCCCTCTCTCCCACAAATCGGAAATGACGAAAAGGCTCCCCGCGACATAGCAACAACGGGGCACCAGCCAATCATCACCTAATTGCTTTCACACACAGGATGTAGGGCAATCTGCAGAGCATAAACTAAAAATGAGAAAGACGAAGAAATTTGTGCTACGGAGCAGAAAGAGAGCACGACAATGTGGAACAACTGTTCACTTTGACATACGATCCCCTTTTCTTTGCTCTCCCCCCCCTTTRCTCCCCCCCCCTTTSCCCCCCCYCCGCCGCYCCCCCCYCCCCGCCTCCCTTTTTTTCTTTTTCTTCTTTTTTTTTAAGAGGGCTGCCCCGCACTCTGCTGCAGTGCAATACAGAGGCCACACTGGAGAGATCGAGTAAGCAAAGCTTTACTCATATGACCCCTTCGTGACCCAGAAAAACTATTTTAATATCATGTGGTCCGATGGACCACAGATCAGATATTAAACTGATCAAAACCGAAACTACATGCCTCCCTTTTTGCTATCATAATAAGGAGCAGCCGCACTTTTGATATTTCTCTCCTCCCAGAATATCCAATTAAACTGATCCACACATCATTTGGCCTCTGACAGTTGTATTTGCGATTGTGTTTTTTAACTTTTTTTGCACGCAGTGCTTTTTTGTCACGCAATCCATGAAATTCTCTGCTACATTGACAAACAAAAAAGTTCAAACATCCCTCAAGAACCGTCAACATTTCTCTTACCAACTCCAGCCCCCTCCACAACAAAAAGAAAAATGGGAAAAGCACACTCACTAACCGCCCCATCCTCCACCATCCCCCCCTCCCCTTCCCCCCCACAAAGAAAATTGCGCTACAGATCAGAGTCGTCTGACAGAGTGCACACCACTGTGGAGTGATTGTTCAGTCTGACACACAATCCCCTTTGTTTTTTGCATGCAATCCTTTTCTTTGTCGTGCAATCCACGAAATTCCCCGCCACACTACCACTTGAAGTCTTTTAGATCCAATCTGGCCCAAAATAACGTTAGGTACATTGCGAAAAGTCCAAGTGTGAATATGTTGGGCATACTTACTTGTGGAATGCCTTTTTGATATCCCTTGCGTTAGCATCCCTCGGAACTCCCAAAATCTGCAACAAGCAAGAACCAAAAAAAGTTTAAAAACCAATTTCAACGATTAGAACGGCATTTCGACTTTGATGTGTCTCAAGTGTAAGAAAGAGGGTCTTCACAACAACCAAGAAAAGGTACATATAATATGTCATATTATTGACTCATATAACAATATATATCGTCAAAAATATATCGTCAAACAGAACTTCCCGGTAAACTGTAGGCAGAGAGGGAGAAGATGATAACAGCCGAGCATATATTAACCACAACTGGGGTTAAGGTGGATTATCAATTACAGTGTCATCAATTAGGGGATTCTGCCGACTGTTGAGGGTTCAGCCTCCTGATGAGTCGGTGAAACTCCGACGAAACAGTTTGTCACATCCCCTCGTTTGTTGTCCCCTTCCCCCTCTATGCCTACGGTTTACCGGGTAGCTCTGTTTGAAGATATATGATATGTGTTTGATGATATATATCGTCAAACAGAGCTGCCCTATAAACCGTAGGCAGAGAGGGAGAAGAGGACATATTTGACGATATATATACCTGGATGTAGGTTGAGCGGTGGCTGCCCCACCCCCGTGTGTCATATCGACCCACTTGCACACAGCCGAAGGGCCAAGAGGCAAAGAAAAGAGGAAGGGAACAGCCAAATACAACAAAACAGGGGGCAACAAGCAACAGCACCAAAAACAGATCCTAGATGACAAGTCCCACATGCAAGTCCTTTACAGGCCAAACGACGGGACAAGACCACCCAGGACAAAACTCTTGTCTCCAAAAAAAGAGGAGAAATATCGTCAAACAGAGCAAAACCGTAGGCAGAGAGGGAGAAGAGGACAACAAACGAGGGGCTGTGACAAACTGTTTCATCAGAGTTTCACCAACTCATCAGGAGGCTGAACCCTCAACAGTCGGCAGAATCCCCTAACTGATTACTCTGTAAGTGATTGTCCACCTTATATATCGTCAAACAGAACTGCCTGGTAAACTGTAGTCAGACGGAGAAGAGGACAACAAACGAGGGGCTGTGACAAACTGCTTCATCGGAGTTTCACCGACTCATCAGGATGCTGAACCCTCAACAGTCTGCAGAATATACATATTCATATTTATGTTTATATACAGCATGTACATATAGAAAGGGTCTTCACTGGTCAATACTCGTCACCACGCAAGAAAAAGGGAGGAAAGGTTTGGTATCTGTCCATGTTTGTTTTTTGTGCACCTAACATATTGGGACATTCTGACAATTATAAGGCACCACTATCCACCGACCACTCTGCCATCTGTAAGTTCTATTGACCAATTTGCCCATCTATCTTCCCATTCATCATCGCAAATATGAAGGAACTGATTAACTGATGAAGTGAGTGAATTGGAGGGGATGTCGGATTGAACATTTTCTCAAGTGGTCATTCTTGGTTGATTGCCTGACATATTGATTCGTTGACCATTAAGCAGGTAGTCCGTAGGTTGATTGGCTGGTTGATCGTTTTGTGGATTGATTGGTTGATGGGTGGATTCGTTGGTTGGTCAGTTAACTGATTGGTTAGTTGATTGGGTCGTTGACTGAGTTTGTTGGTTGATTGGTTGGCTCGCTAGTCGCGTGATTCTACTGTCGGTTATTTGGGTGACTGGTTGGTTGATTGGTTGATTGGTTGATTGGTCAATCATCTGATTGATTGATTGGTTGATCAGCTATTGATTGGTTGATTGGTTGATTGGTTAATCAGCTGATTGGTTGATCTGTTGACTGGTTGATTGGTTGGTTAGTTGATTGGTTGGTTAGCTCACTGATTGGCTGACTGGGTACCTGATTCACTTGTTGATTGCTGATCCAACTCCTCGGCCGCCCAAGTAATTAGCACTGGTTGACTCGCTGGTCGATACGCTCATTGCTAGATTGCGCCTGTAAGTTTCGACCGGAGACGAAACTTCATAGTAATAGATGGTTCACCTATTGACTCATTCATCCAATCCAACACCGACAAGATGATGGGACAACTCACTGGAGAAGCTGCTGACTCAGCCTACTGGTCGAGAATTGACAAGGTATAGTTTTAAACCACTCCATCTATTGACATACATGATTGATTATAATGAATTGAGAAGCGTTCGTCGAAAAATTGAAAGACTTTAATGACTGACAAACTGAATGACTAACATATGGGTAAGGGAAGGAGTGGATATATTTGAGATACTCGATCGTTTGACTTTATTGATGAGAAAAAATATTTTTCTTTTTTTTTTCTTTTTAAGTAAGCTACATTCTTCTCTCAATTTCACCTCACACTACCTACCTACCACTACTCTTAAGTATAGTCATACAGGGAATCCCGTAGCAGCCAGAACCGTGTTCACGAAAGAACATGGGGGGGCTGCTCCCGACCTGCAGGTGGGCGATACCGTCCAGGGGACAGCCAGTAGCATCAGGGACAATGCCAACAGGACCAGTCCCTGTGCTTCCCCTCAGGTCCCCTCCCCTATGAACATCAGCAGACTCTGCTCAATGCCAATGTGAGTATGGCATGATGGCATCAATCAATCCATTTACATATTCTATGTTCGGTGCCCGCCACCTAGAGACAGACAATACTAATGGATTGATTGACACCATCCTCACACCAGCACGTTTCTAAATGTATCTGAGTGCTGATTCCTGCCAGAACCTGGATGTATCTGACTGCAATCACGTCCAGAGCTTAGTAGAAACACTCCTACTATACCCTGACTCATTCACTTTGATCCGTCGACAATTAATAAGTTTTGATGATGATTTTTTCCTGTGATCATGATGATTATGATGTACTATTTTTGGCAATGATCAGAACAATGAGTGAGAGGACGATGACGTGGCATCAGGTGAGCGAACAAGGCCACAAAGGACGACATGAGTAAGAAGAGTACAACGACATCATATACGATCATGTCCCCAAAAAACAAAAAAAAGAATGCAGGAGCGGCAAGGAGAGAATGAATGGACGAAGGGCAAAGAGGGAAAAAAAGAAAAAAAAAAAAGAGGGGAAAACCGAGAATCCGGCAAGTAGGAGCAGACAGAGACAAAAGAGAGCATCGCAGACAAAACCAGGACACCAAGAGGTTCTAAAAAAAAAAAAACACAAGAATAAAACCCAAGAAGAAGAAAAGAGGAGGACAAGCAGGAGTACATCTACGACGACAGGGAGTAGAACATACGAGGGAAAGAAGAGGAAAACAAGAGATTGACTAAAAATAAAACATAAAAATAAAACCCAAAAAGAAGAAAAAAAGAGCAGAAGGACAAGCAGGAGTAAAACTAGCACGACAGGGAGTAGAACGTAAGAGGGAAAGGAATAGAATAAGAATAATTGCATTTTTCGTCCATGATCCGATCTAAAGAATCGAACACGCGACCTCCCTTATAAGAGGGAAAGGACCCGACTGCCAGCTGTGCTGCTCCTTCCAGAAAGGAGGGAATTAAAAAACAATAATAAAGAATAGGGATAATTTGCAAAATACCCCCGTAAGTTGAGAAATATGCCTAAATGTCCCTGAAAGATGTGGGTAGAGCGGAATGCCCTTTTGGACCGAAATCTGTGTTGTGTCCCTGTCAGGCGGGTGTGCAACTTTGCAATCTGGACGTCCCCGTTTGGGCCTTGGCCTTTTGCAATAGCGCCTATGAAAAGTTGGCAAGTACTGGGGCATTTTGCAAAGTTGGACGGTACCCAGTAGGGATATATTGCAAAGATGGTTGTCCAACCAACGCCAGGGGTATTTCACAAAATATGTTTTTCGTCAGAGAGGGGCATTCCGCTCTACCCACATCTTTTAGGGGCATTTTGGCATATATCTCAACTTCTGGGGTATTTTGCAAATTATCCTTAAAGAATAACAACAAAAAATGGGAAAATTTGTCTGGCGCCCCTGTATTTTCCATTATCTTGCATAGCGCCTCTACAATGGCCAATTTACCGTGTCGCGCCCCTCTGACCACAATTCAAATTTCCCGTAAGACCCGGGTGTCAGTTGGGCCTCAAATATTTTCGTTATGCCCCTACCGGTACCGGTTCCAATTGCAGCATGCCCCTACCGGAGAGCCGTTAAGTGCCAGCGGGAAAATTTTCGATATGCCCCTACAGGTACCATCCATCTTTTCAGCGCGCCCCTGTCGCCGTTGAAGGCACTCTGAGGCATTCCCCCGGCCTAGGCGGTCTCTCTCTCTCTCTCTCTCTCTCTCTCTCTCTCTCTCTCATCCATCTTTTCAGCGCGCCCCTGTCACCGTTGAAGGCACTCTGAGGCATTCCCCCCGGCCTAGGCGCTCTCTCTCTCTCTCTCTCTCTCTCTCTCTCTCTCTCTCACACACACACACACACACACACACACACACACACACACACACACACACAGGGAAGAGGACGACATGACCACAAGAGGAGAAGAACAAGAACGACGAAACAGGCAACAAGGGACTGGGAGAACGAAGAGGGTGAGTGACACTCATCGTGTGATGGTGGACGTCAAAACTCCAAGCATTCTGAGGAGAGTTTGCACTCCAGTAGTTTCTCGCGGTGTAAGCCGCGTGAGAAACCGTGGCGCATCGCCACGTCAACCACAACATAGTTCGAAATCGAATACAAATTCGTGGCGCTTCACTGTTGCAGGGCCATTACAGAAAGATCGCTACCCCTTATGAGGGCATATGGTGCAGGGCCTGATGAGAATGGGACCGCCAGTCCAGGGGGGCCGTCCTGGAAAGTCGCGCCCACCACTGATAGGGGCCTGCCGAAAATATTTTTAGGCCCAGGGGCGCGACAGGGTAAATCGGCCATCGGAGGGGCGCGACGCAAAATAATGGAAAATTCACGGGCGCCAGACAAATTTTCCCTCCAAAAAAAAAAAAAAAAAGGAGGGAGTCCTCTTTTCTCTCTTAGGTTCTTTCCCCTTTTTCTTCCACCGGCTAACCTCCGATTGCACTCAAAAAAAAAACAAAAAAAAAAAAGCCTCCGATTGCAGTGATGATATCGTCGTGAGATTG